CATGGGTTTCTCCACTCTATTCCTTCTTCCAGAATCCAAGAACCATGCTTTTGTAGGTGAACAGTAAAATGTAAAATGAGACTTCACCTTGCCCAGGGAGGGACTGCAAGATTTTACATGGAAGCCAACCCAAAGTGCTCAAGTTTAATTTCCCTCTGAGGAGAAGAATCAGTATGTGATTCAGTCTGGAAAGCAGTCCTCAGAGAGTGATCTCAGGATCTCTGAAGGTCCCTGTAACTCTTTTAGGGCATGTTCAAGGTCTTGCATTTTCCAACTACAGAAAAGCTATTGTTGTTGTTATTGTTGTTTGTTATATATATATATGTATATATGTATATATATATATATGTCAACCCAAACAATATATTGCAATAAATTAAATTCAGATGTGAGAATCCAGCTGTCTTTTAGTCCAACATTTTAATAATTTGTGAAAACATGTAAAGTAATGCCACTCCCTCTCATTTGTCATAAAATATGTTAATATTGAATGGATTGATTGATTGATTGATTTTTTGAGACAGAGTCTCAGTCACCCTGGGTAGAGTGCTGTGGTATCACAGCTCACAGCAACCTCAAACTCTTCGGCTTAAGCAATTCTCTTGCCTCAGCCTCCCAAGTAGCTAGGACTGCAGGCATCCTTCACAATACCCAGCTATTTTTAGAGATGACATCTCACTCTGGCTCAGGCTGATCTCGAACCTGTGAGCTCAGGCAATCTACCTGCCTTGCCCTCTCAGAGTCCTGGGATTATAGGTGTGAGCCACCATGCCCAGCCTTAGAATGGACTTATTATTGTTAATTTAAACTGAATTAACACATTTAAAAATTTTTTGTTTTAATTTCTAATACACATTGATAGTTATAATTGGGATCTTACTACATCAATAATAAAGCTACTTGGGGCCTTCAGTTATGTTTAAGAGTATAAAGAGGTCCTGAAAACAAAATGTTTCAGACCATTGATTTAGACTATTTCAAGGTGATTTTCTATTTGACACCTATCCCAGTGTTATCTTAGGCTATTTGAATATATCTCTTTCACAACCCACTGGAAAATACTTCCAGGAGATCAGGATGATGACAATGAGGATGATGATATGGACCAGCAGTTGATAGTAAGCTGGGCCTTGACTCTTATGAGCAAACTAATCTTAAATTTCCAAGACAGTTCTTGGAGTCAGTTGATTTTTTCTGTTACAGACAGAAGACTTTACTAATATCTTTCCCTGTAGCCTCAATATTTGTTTGACAAAGCCAAGAAGTCAAGTGTCATAACTAATCTCGCAGTAGCTATAGCCTTCACCATACTCCAGAAATGAGACTGATCTTGTTTCATTATGTCCAGATCTTGTCCAGATCTCTCCTTTGAGAGAGGGTCAGGGGGTGTGGACTGAGACGGGAGAGAGAAGAGTTGTCTCTACCCCTTCAGTAAACCTTTTCAGCTGGTTTGCTTCTCACTGTGCCCATCTGTCTTACTTTTGACATGGATACCAAATGGGGTTCAGAGTAAGGGAAACTTTTCAGTCCAGGAAGAATTTTTACACTGTGGGTTGAAATAATAGATTTCCCGTATCAATACATGAACACTCAGAAATGAAGATCTGTCCCATTTCTAGGCAAAACAACTTTGCTCGTGGTTTAGATCAGCAACTGCCAGATGGTCTTGTGGTGGCCACCGTCCCCTTGGAGAATCAGTGCCTGGAGGAGATCTCAGAGCCCACCCCTGACCCTGACTTCCTGACTGGTGAGTGTGCCTTCCTACCCTCATTTAACTAGCAAAAACCAAGCAGTTTCCTATGGTTTCATAAGATCAATACTCTTGACCTCACTTATTTTTGTCTCAAAGCCAGTGATTTCCTTGATGCACAATAAAACTGAACACTGACAATAAAATTGCCAATATTATTGTATAATCACTCACAAAATGGTAGTAATAGTATCTTTCTTTGTTATTTTCACAGGGGTGCTTTTAACTCAAATAACATAATAGATACTCAGAGTTCTTGGTGGGATTAGAGGAAGTGACCAGGTCATAGAGGCAGAGAGAGAAGCTAGCTTACTACTGTCAACTAAATATCCATCCTTGCTGTTGAGTTTCCGGTAAACACTTACAGAGCAGTGTGCAGGAATAGAATGTGATTTTGTCATCATACGACCCTGGGATTGACTCTCTGCTACTTTCTTGCTGCGTGGCATTAGACAGTGTAGTCTCTCTGGGCCTCCTGGGCCCTCATCAAAAGTTAGGGCTAATGCTGCCTACCCCACACTGTGGTTTTGAGGCCAGAGCCTAATTCCTCTGGGCTCATTGTGGAACAAAGGTAAGGTTTGATTGAAAGAGGCAGGGACCTCAAGGCCCTTCTTTGTGCCTCTGAAAACCCCCAGAGTTAGTACTTAGTACTTCTTGGGCTAAAGAAGACACTTCAAGGTGTCCTATGGACTAATGAGAAAAGATAACTGAGATTCGGCATCATTCACGAGATGACTAGACATGAGCTCAATTCCACTGTTTGCTTTATTTCTCCTTACTCCCCCCACCCCCCATTCATTCCATGTTTGCCTTGTTCTATACCTTCCTCCCTTTTTATTTTCTTTTCTAAAGAGTGGATTGAGCTAAGGTTAGGCCTCTTCTAAAATCAAGTTATGTTAATAACTTTCATTAACAGGCCTGTCTGAGGTAAGCAATTAGCAGTGTGGGCTCTAGACCCTGGCAGCTTGGCTCAATTTCTCGTTGGCTGTGTGATCTGAACAAGTTACTTTACTTCTCTGTGCCTCGGTTTCCTTTACCTATAAAAATGGGTGTTAGGATACTGTCTTCTTCAGAGGAATCATATTAGGAATGAATAATATTTATAAAGTTTTAGAACAGTTCCTGACACATAGTGAGATCTATGTTTGTTAAATAAATATATATATTCTGAGGAAGAAAGAAAATAGTATAAAACCCACAAAATAGTGTCTTCTCCTTAGGAAAAGAAAGAGCTAGAGTGAAAACAATTATATATATTCTGGGCAAGCAATAAAGCTCTTA